GGGACACCGGCCGTGCCGGGCTTGGGCGGGAGATTCGCCCGGCGTTTGCAGCCTTGGGAGATGTTGGGAAGCGGTTACAAGGGCACAGTCCTCGTCGGGACACAGCCCTGCCCTGCCCCTTGCCTCCCTGCACATAAAACAGGTGCTCGGGGTTCCTTTCTCTGTCACCTCCCTGAATTTGGGTTCCGTTTTTTGCAAGCCCCCCCCCCGCCTCGCTCTAGACTTGTACAATATCTGGTCTTCTTTACCTTAGCCCCCTGTGTTCCACACCCTGAGCCCCGGGGGTGCTGGTTCCACCCACCCCGTTGCTCCCGGGAACAACCACACGCGAGGAAGGGCCGTGGAAACAGCACAGGTCGGGGTGATGCTCCTGGCGAGGGAAGCACAGGTTTGCCAGCTGTTGGCACGTGCCGAGGATAAAGGCAGCACAACAAACACAAGTGGACTTTAATAGCTTTTAATACTAAAAAAAAAATACTCCACTTCTGAAATAAAGCTATCCCCCTTTTTTTTCTCCCAAGTAGATGGACAACACGCTTGGAACACAAGACCTGTGTGCCAGCCTGGAAGGAAACAGGTGAACACCCTTCTCAGGCACTTTACAGGTAACAGCAAAACTTTTTAGAGTTGTTTTTCATACACTGAAAAATCTGATACAAAGGGCTGACAGAGAAATGTTTTCCAGATGTTTCTTACTAAACTTTTTAAAAATTCAGCAGTTTTCAAAGACTCTAAAGGTTCTTCTTAAATAGGACTGAAGACTCCCCATCTTAAAAGCTGAATAAAATGTGTCAGCCTTCCTTAGTGTTTTACATACTTTTTTGGAGCAGATGGGTCTTTACTGGAGAAGCTTCAAGTTCAGAGCTTCAGTGGAATTCTACATGCAGCAGAGGATCTTGCTGACAGGAAAAATCCATAATGGGACGAGAGACCAGGAGAGGAGGACAATTCAAACTGCAAAGAGGGGGTGAACAACTGCAAGAAAGGGCACAGTAACTCGTATGTAGGTCAGACATGGTTTGTAGTCTGAAAGATTTTATGTTAACTATGTTTACCAGCTGCACTCTGCTCAATAATGTTGAAGTAGTTTATATTTTTAAAAAAATAAAATTTTAAAGATTCAGAAATCAGTGTTCTGTCTTGTCAAAGTATCCTGCTTTCTAAAAAGCCAAACCACATTTACCAGAAAGGGGGAGACATGGGACAACACACAACAGTTTGCTTTAAAAACATATGAAATTAGACTAAAAAGTCTGTAACCTACATCTTCCACTCCAGTTCACAGATAATCTGGCAGCTGAAGACCACGCTCAGATTTCTTGGGAGAGTTTTCAAGTTCATAACACAACTTAAAATACTTTATTTCCATTATAGTCTTCAGACTTCATCAGGCATGCTTAGGATTTCAGCATGGCAGACACAGGACCCTTAAAGATACTCAGCTCTCTTCAGCAATCTAGCTGATAGTTCAAAGGTACTTCAGATAACCTGAGGGTTACACCAAATGCTTCCACTTTTCATCACGTATGACCACAGCTGTCTTTGGTGGGTGTTTGGACACACCAGCAGGTACAGAGGGACACAGGAGCAGTATTAAGTGCCACACTAATCATTTAGTCAACAACACAGCATCCTCTGGGGGGAAAAAAAATGTGAATGGTATCAACTCACTAGTATGAAAGCTGTTCATCAGAACTGTGAGAGCATTCATTTTGCCATTTTCTAGCCCCTGAATACTTAATCTGTGTTTAGTTTTCATAGTGTGCTATTGCCAGAAGAGGAACCAAGATGAATCCCAGAACGTGGAAGTCATTTTAAAGTCTTGTCAGTTGTTTCCCTGCTACAAAACTCTCACCAATCCGTTTCACTCACGATTCCCTGCCCAGTTCCCTGTTCCTGTCAGGACGTTTCCTTCTCCACAGTGCCTGTGCCTTAGAAGAGTAACAGCACCCAGGGTTTACCTCTGCTCTCAAGGGCAGCACAGTCACGAGGGAGTCCTGCTCTGTCTGGACTCCCAAAAGCTCAGCAGCACAGAATTCCAGCAGAACTTGACTGCACGACTTACGTCCTATGTCATTTGTTCTTGAAACACTCTCCTGATCATCAATTCCATAGCTTTTGTTATCCTCACAGCCTCTTAGGCCAAAGGAGTGTCATTTGTTTACTAAGAATTCAGGGCAAAATACAGCAGTAAAAATAAATCTTCCAAGAGGATCTATATTCTGGCAGCTCCTGCTCTCAGTCAGCTGAAGGTCATGAAGGTACTTTGGAAGATTCAAAATCCAGTTTTAGGAATTGGACAAGTTACATACTACAGAAAAGAAGTGGCAGGAGAAAACTTAGGCTAATGATAATGGCAGCCATTACTGTCGCAGGCAACTTAGAAACATCAACCACCTTGTATAAAAAATACAACACAGGCTTAATTAGTAAGAATTGAGACAGTGATGATGTCCACATTTAGGAAGCTGTTCAGCCAGACTGCTTGCATTTTGTGTCATTGTTCTCAAGTTGTCACAAAGAGCACACGAGTAAGTTTTTAAGAACAAAGATGCACTCTTTCATGGTTCCCACAAAACTGTCATGCTTCAAATTAAGAGACTTGGTCCCCTATCAAAATTGTAATTAAAAGCCAATGCTGGACAAAACACAATTGTTTCCGACCATGAAGTTTTTCTATGGCATGAATATCACCAGGAACAAAAATCTTCACTCTTCTACTGCTGTTTTGCTATCATGGGAATTCTACTTTCGAATTTAGTTCACGGAGTTATTGCATATGCTACTCTGTATTAAAAGTTCAGTATAAAACAAGACAACAGCAATAAAATCAAATCATTCAGTCTCGTAAGCCAGACATCCTCTCACTTTGACTTGAGTTACAGTTTGACAGTCCTTTTCTTGAAGATACCCAGTATACATTAGTAACCAAGAACTGAAGCAAAATCATCTGATTATACATGAGCTTTAAATCCTTTAACAAAGTACTTTGTTGGAAAAGTCTGTTTCTGACTTAGCTGTTCAACCCAGATAAATATTCTTCCCTTTGAGAGGTTCATACGACCTCTTCAGCTCAAGCAAAATGAGTAAGATCAAGTAAGATTAAAAGCACAAGCAGTTCACCCCAGTTCTCACCACGTTCCCATGAAAAGGTGTGGAGAGAACTTATTGATACACCACGTGAAATATTATTCTGTTTTATCTTCATCCTCTGCAGCATAGATGGCTTGATTCCTTCTCTTAATTTTTTTAATGCCACTGTTCCCATTCTCACTGCCACCAACACGCTTTAATGGTCTCTCAGTTAAGCTCTTCTCTTCCCCCTGCTTGCTGGCACCAGATTTCTCCAGCTCCTCATTAGTGGAGTCCATAGCATCATCAGATGACACTGCCATGGAATCCGGCATGATCCGGATGTCAGAAAAGCTTGCAGAAAAGTCAGGAGGATGATCAGGGGAAGGATCTACAGAGCATGTACTCAAGTCTTCATCACCACCTTCTTCATCCAGCATTATTTCATCTGGATTAAAGGATGAAAGTCCAGAATTATCTGTATTATATTCACTGGGTTCCTCTGCTGACCCAGTACTGTCCATCTCCTCTTCCTCCTCCTCATCTTCATCCTCACCCCGTGCTGAGCCCTCTTCTTTAGCTTGCTGGATCCTGGCATTGATGTCAGTCAGACCAAACTGGGCACAAAACTCAGTGGTCTGAGGGTTGATGGTATGAACTGGTTTCACCTGTTTTTGGGGCTTGCTGGGATCATAACAAGCAGCTGTCAATGTGAAGTTACATGGAATTTTGAGGTCATGATTCAGCTCTTCTAACACCTCTTTGATGGCTTCTTCTGTCACACTGTAATCCCACCTAAAGAAGTGTATTAAGTTTAAACATGTGCTCTAGTCAACAGGTATTTCCTGTTCCCACTGCAAAGAGAAACTTTTAAAGATAGGTAACAAATTAATTTTAAAACAGACACCTCACTTCTTACATGATTTCTCAGGAAATTAGGTTACCTTAGGTCAACACTGAGACTCCCCTCTGCCGACCCAGGATGTGTGGGGCAGCCCACTCCATTAGCATCCACCCACCCACCCCCAGCATCAGCCTCATTTCTGGTCTCACAGTGTAACTGGCAAGAGGATCAGACACTGCCTGGATTTTGCCCCTCAAATGGTGGTACAAGGTGCGTCAAACAAAACTAACAGCCCACGCAGAGCAGTAAAGAAGTGTGTATGCTCTGGAGCACAGGTCTTGTCCCCATCCCCAGCCCCTCTGTTCACCAAGGCATTTAGCAAGCCCTACAGACATGGCAGGCTGGTTTACTTCCAGCAAAATCCCACTTTCCTCTCTACCTTGCATACAACTTACTTTGCATGGAGACCATTATTTTCAGGCATATTCCAGGAGCTCTGAGTCACATTAACAAGACTGTTGGTGGCCTTGAGGACTGCAATCCACTCAGCATCATACTCCAGGGAATCACCTGCACTAGGATCATGTTCTACATCTATTATCTGTTTAAAATAACACAGAAACCAGAGGAGGTGACTTATTTCTCTTGACACCAGAGACTGATTCAAGTTTCAAGGGTTACTTTCATGGTATAGAGTTTTTTAATTAAGTTTCAAGTACACTGAGCTAGAGGTCTCAATCTAACAAGTCCTTTCAAGTTAGGCCTACACAGAAGTTTAGAGCAGTAAGGGGGCTAAGAAATTACTATCAACACTAGTGAAAAAGGCATTTCTGTATTTTATAGCAGAACACCCTCCTTCCTACTGCCAGCCACTGGGTAGTTAAGCAACTCAGAAGCCAGAATTTGCCTACTTTTAAGTTCATGCCACCTTCTCTATTGGAAATACATCAGGAACTGATAGGAACACTAAGTGACATTAACCCAAATCAAACCATCCACTTCTGCCAAACTAACCTTATGAGATAGTTTTAGAAAAAACAAGCAAACCAGGATACACCAGAGCTACACACAAGTGGATCATCACATTACTGGAGGATGTATTATTTCAGATCAGTTTTGCTACAGGGCTTAAAGTCTGCAGTAGTACCCCAGTGTACCTTTGCAGAGCAGAAGCAATCCTGTCTATTTCTCATACTCTCTCCCATCTTTAAAAGTAGCTACTAAGGGAACTAGATCCCACCACACACCCAAAGGACAGGAAATGAACCATCTTCTCTTTAGGTTGGCTAATAAAAGCTACCTTGAAGTCAGACTACTAAAACACTTGACTGCATTTGAAGAACAAGCTGTCAGCAGCTCCTCTCTCCTAGCAAAGGGGCTTTAAAGTCATCTATCCCAGAATTTAGAGCTGGCATTCAGGAAGGCCATGGACACCAACAGTGTTTAGCTCCTGGCAAATCAGTTTGGCACTCATGTTGAAAGTTCCCACAACCTAGACCTCCTGCTTGTCCACTGCCCTTCCTAGCCAAGACATACACCCAACAAAAAGGAGCAAAAGGACTTCCTAGAAAGTCATATCAATCCTTCCTGGAATCCCCAACACTGAAAGGGAGCTGCAGTAGTCAACAATTCATGAGTCCAGATCTGAAGAAAGAGGCATTAGTTGACCCAAACTAAACTGTGAAAGAAGAGCCTCAAGATGGGCTTTCTTCTTAGGTCTGACATTTGTCAAAACACCACATGAGGAGATTCAATTGAGGAGAAAGTAGAGCTACTCCTCCAATTAGTCAACTACTTGTTCTAAGGTGGAAGGAAATGGAAGGAACAGGAAAACACCAGGCCTGCATGACAGGACACAAGGTCTGCTTAATTCAAGTCAGTGTCAAAGCCATTCCATGCATGCACCATTCCTACTTTCTTCCCAGTTCCTCCGTTTATCAGAACTATCCTTCAGCTCGTGTCTAAGCACAGCACTCAGAAGTTCAGCCAAGTGAAGTACTTCAGAAGTGAAAACACATGGTCCTCACCTGCAGAAAGTCTCTGTGTGGCAGGCATTTATCCAGAGCCAAAAACTTGGTTGCTTTTGGTAGCTCCTCTTTGGAGTTTGTCTAGGAAATAAAAAGTGTTAACAGAGTCATTAGCACTTCTATGAAACCTGACCATTCTAAACAACTTATAGAGAAAGATTTAAAGGCTCATTTATACAGAAAAAGACTTTCTGAAATAGAAAATCAGCATAGGATTGTAAGAGATGAGGGGACAAAGAGAAAGACACACTTCACTGAAGACAAAAAGGACACTGGATAGAGATGAAGATAAAGCAAGAGCCACACATCACCCTTAAGCAAGGCAGCTTAGCACACCCAGCCCTGCAGCAAATCTTCTAACATCACTGGAAAGAGACTTGTTAACTCTAGAAGCTCTAAAGTTACATTTTTACAGCTTGCAAATAAGAATAGCACATCACACCAATTTCAGGAATAACTCAAACCAAAAGTTTCTCACCCACAGGGGCTAGTTTTTATCTACCCAGGCCACAAGACAACTTCATCTGCCAAGCCTTACTACGTGTATTCCCACCCCCAGTTAACCAAGATCATCTTTTCAGTCACTCTATCAGCTGGTTTTGAAGCTGTCTCCTTCCCCAGTGCAGTGGGAGAGAGAGTGCTTTTCTATAAACTTCAAGCAAGAAGTTTCAGGTGCATTAATGTTAGCTGCCCCTGAAGAAAATGAGGTATTTACATCACTGATTTATAACATCTCATTACCTTGCATCAGGCTACTAGTCTTAACACCACTTGGTGTTTTGTGGCTTAAGCTGAGTTTTGCTAACTGAGCAAAAACATTAAGAAGTTGCTTTTCAGGACATTGTTACCTGCATTGGAATTCTAAAATGTGCTCAGGACACATAAATTCTTAATTATTTTTTTTCCCTTTACCTGGTGTTGCATGAAAGCTGCAAATTTAACATGCAGATGTGCTGAGAACCAGTAGGTGGGTTTCAGATGCTGCAGAAGCTCTGAAGCAGCCGGGCTTCCTAGTGTGTTGCTCTCCACCTCTTGACGGAAGAAAGATTTCATTTTTAGAAGCTGATTCTTGTTTCCATAGTGATAGATGCTCCTTGGCCAGTCATGGGACATGAATATATCAATTGGACACTTTAGCTGTCAAGCCAAAATGCATGCGGGGTAAATAAAACACGTACAATAAAGAAGTTTGCAAATTACACAGCACAAGATGGAACACGTGTCATGCGTTCTACCTCAGACCTTGGCTGTGACCAAGAGCCTCACTTTCAAAGCAACTACATGTACCACCAAGCCCCATCTTTCAGGTGGCCTTTGAAGTTGTCAAGGGACTTGTCTCCATGGTTTGCACTACACTTTCTTGGGACAGTCAGCTGTGGTTTAGATATAGTGTCTTATAAAAGAGACTGTAGCATCACAGGGAGTGTCAGGCACTCAGAAGACAACTCTTAAAAATTGCAGCTACAGACCAAGTTCTCTACTCATAATCTAAGACACCTTCTTCCTCATGAATTTTTTATAACCTTTGTTTAAAAGGGATAATGGCTAGGCATGATACTCCTCCTCAAAGGAAGCCCCCTTCAGAAGTCTAATCAATGTCCTAAGCACATGTTGCTTTGATATCAGCATATTTCCCTGGGCCATATCAGAACACACATCCAGATCAAACCTGTGTCCAACTAGTAGGAAACTTGCAGCGAAATTCATCAAACGCCGTACAATGATAGCAAACAACCTTTCTCTTATGTTCAGCAGCCCTGTACCTACTGAGCACTGAAGTGCGCAACTGCAACCCCAATAACCATTCACAAGCTATTTACAAACACATCTGTTCACACCACAGCCTCAGCCAAGCCCTTGTGACAAAGCTGGGAGTAGGCAACAGCTCCAAAAAGAGAGGCAATCTGTCCTTTGAATTTCTCACCCTAGAGTCAGAAGTACTTCAACCACTGAAATTCAGGATCAGCTGGCTCAATTTTGATTAGTTAACTTTGTACCAACCACCTTGCATGTAGCATCCATCTTTTTAAAGCTAACATGAAGCTGGAACAGAGGTGCAGAGCTGGAGTGCCTTCAGTTCTGTTAATTTTATCCAGTTGAAAAAAACAAAGAGAAACAAACAATAATAAAAAAACACTCCTGCCTGGGCCTGCTGCAGACCATGTTTGCACTGCTGCACAAAGCACTGGAGATATTCAGGAGGAACAGCAGTGGAATAACACCCAGCATAAAATGGGCTGACCTGATTACCTGGGAGTTGTTGGCAAGATTTGCTATCCAGTAGTGTACTTGTTCATAGCAGCTTCAACATCTTCTAAATTAATGAAATTTACCACTGCTTATATATAATTTTTTTTACCTACCTGCTTGAGACTTCTAAATTAATGAAATTTACCACTGCTTTAAAAAATATATATAATTTTTTTTACCTACCTGCTTGAGCTTGAAGACCTCAATGTTCCTCACATGGTAAGCACTTCTAATTGTTTGCTGGTTGTATGGTGGGCTCTCAAAGTGGCCTGCAACATTGAGAAAAACAGTAGTTGCCTGCAGCAATAGTTGCCTCCTAACAAATTGCAAGCTAGCTTCTGGTGCTCACCTGAGAGCAGCCCCACACACAAGGCTGCCAACACTTACAGGAGACACTGCATTTCCTTTACATGAAGCTTACACCAACAGGCTGCTATAATTTCAAGGCAAATATGTTGTAAAAATAAGTCTACCACAATGAGCATTTCTTCCATTCTGTGTCTTATTTTCATAAGGAATACAGGATTGTATGTCATTCAGCCAGGGAAAGAAAACAAAATATGAGCTTGACTTCAATACTGAAAACGCAGGACTCATTTGAAAGGAGTAACTTTTGGAAGAAAGATTTATGTGCTGAATTCCTGAGTGAGGTTTTGTAGCTCCCTGGTGAGGAGACAACCCTCACTGCTTCCCCACACCTCCTTCTTCTGCAGTTTTAGGCTGCACGTGCAATCACAGACCTGCAGAGCTGTGTGCTGCACGTGTAATACTAATGTACATGTAACTACATGTAAACACATGTAATACCAATGTCATGGCTACACATGCAAACATGGTGGCACAGTCAAAGACCACGAGGTGAACAGGAACAAGCAAACTTTGGGTATTGACACAGTGAGAGCACTGATTAGCCAGTGATCAGAATTTAAGGTAGGACATAACAACTCAAAAGAAGTACCATCTAAAAGATCACAAAGCACTTTCTGTGTTTCTCTGAGAGTGCTGCCACCAACCATGAAACCACAGATAGACAGATCCAGCAGCAGCTGAAACATGCCTGTAACTGCCCACAGCCACCACTGGCTCTGGAAGAGCAAACATGTACCCTGTCAAAAGGGACATAGTCTCCAACTTTGCCTTTGGACAAAGAAACCTGGAGGTCCTATGTACTCCTGAAAACAAACAGAAAAATTACATTCAGGGTAGCTAGCATTACTGGTAAAAAAGTCTAATCTCCCACATGCAATATTCAGGTATACAAACTGTATGCCTGAAAATAACAAATTTAATTAGCACTGATAAGTATTGATGAGAATCAGGTGTTCTAGAAAACTAGTTCAGTACTTTGCAGCCTGAAAGCTTCTCTGAAGCAGGATGGTACTAAAGGGGATGTTACTGCACAGCATTTGTAAGTAAGAGACCACTACTTCATGTGCCAAGAAGATCAGAAAGACTAAACTATGGTCTCTTTGCTGACACCAGGTATCACCTGTGAGAAGACCCTCCCAGGAAGGACTCCTAAATACACATCCCCATAACCAGGAGGAACTGATCTCGAAATGTACTGACACTGAGTTGCAGCTCAGAACACTATGTTTGTACAATATCACACTTACAAATTGGCTGTTTCACACAAGGAAAACCAAAGCCTCACACAGCATGTTAAAAGGACACTGCCATGGAAAAATCAAGCCTGCTCCAACAACACCACTCAAAAGGCTCACTGCTTCCTGATGTGGTGGCCAGGCAGCTCCCAGCTCATCTACCACCTTCAGAAAAATACACATTGAGCCAAGAGAGGCTTCCAGCATAGGAGTTGGTTCAGCAAAGAGGAGAAGGTAGATAGTAAATGATCCATGAGCCAGCAGTGTGTCCGTGCTGACAAGAGGGCCAATGGAATCCTGGGGTGCATGAGGAAGTGTGTGGCCAGTAGGTCAAAGGAGGTCATTGTCCCCCCTGCTCTGTTCTGGTGAGGCCACGTCTGAAGATCTGGGACCAGTTCTGGGCTCCCCAGTTCAAGAGAGACAGGGAACTGCTGGAGAGAGTCCAGGGGAGGGTGACAAAGATTATTGGGGGGTTGGAGCATCTCCCTGATGAGGAAAGGCTGGGAGAGCTGGGGCTGTTCAGCCTGGAGAGGAGGAGGCTGAGGGGAGACCTTGTTCATGCCTGTAGGTATCTCAGGGTGGGTGCAGGAGGATGGAGCCAGACTCTGCTCAGCAGTGCCCAGGGACAGGACGAGGGGCAATGGGCACAGGCTGGAACGTGGGAAGTGCCAGTGAAATATGAGGAGAAACTTCTTTATGGTGAGGGTGACAGAGCCCTGGGACAGGCTGCCCAGGGAGGGTGTGGAGTCTCCATCTCTGGAGATACTCAAACCCCCTGGATGCAGCCCTGGGGAATGTGCTCTGGGCAATCCGAGGCCCCTTCCAGCCCTGCGGACACGGCCGGACCCTCCCGCACGGCCCTGTCCCGCCCTACCTTTCCGGTAGTCGTGAGACTTGAAGATGCCCGAGATGCCGCCGATCCGGACGCCGCGGAACCGCACCACGCCCGCGTAGCCTGCGGAGACGGGAGGGCGGCGGGTCACGGCGGGGGC